GGGGGAGAGGATTAAGCGCCTCTCAGCCACCGACCAGAGTGGTAGTGGTCGCTGTGCCTTCATGTCCTACACTGGAGTGAGCCATGCTCATCTCGGCCAAGCGAAACAATTCACAATGCATATAATACTTCTTACACATATGTACTATGGTTTATCCTGCCTATGAGGGGAACAAACCCTTGGAAGTCCCATTATACCACCAAGATCCTCGAGAGCGCCTCATCGGAGTCGAACATCAAGGTCGGGTAGATGAGAGCGGAAGACTATCTCTGAGCGCTATCGTTATATAAGCAGAACATCGGCTAGCAGGCGCTGCCTATCCCCACTGCTAGACAAAAGGTGGTGGCAGGCCAGTGGCGGACATGATTGTGGAATTTCAGGTGGAATCCGGTGGCATTCCAGTACTCAACAAAATAGGTGGGATTCCACAATCCAGCCAGTCATTGAGATTACGTGGCAACTATGCACAATCGGGGGGGGGGCATACAGGGGGCACACGGTCGACGACGTGTTGAATCGTCTGGGCATTCAGGCTCACAGCGTCCCAGTGTAAGAAGTAAGCATATCATTAGCTTGCGAGGACAACGTGTAGATAGCTATGGAGCATAGTTGCCAGCGGCAGGTTCTATGACTACAACGTCTAGCGACTAGGTGCAAATTACGCTATGACATAGTACACTACATGGAATTGTTAAGTTGTTTGAAACCTGTTAGGATACTCTAGAGCATTCCTAATGGTGGATGATAGGAGGGACGGAACAGCTGGACGTCAGAAAACAGAGCACACTCACCTCTCGCTGACAGGAAATTTTCACCGAGGGAGATGATCAATGGGTCTGTCGAGTAGGGAAAGTCAAAAGGAAAGGCAATAAGGCGACAAGTGCAAACGAGACGGGAATTGTGCAAATTGTTATGGGCAGATCGCTCACAGGGGAGGATGGTGGGTAAGGGAGTGCTAGGGTGCTGCAGACAAGGAGACCAGGAGAGACAACACTTCGAAGTTCGAAGTTCGAGCTACACTCGTCGTCGAGGTTCTCTCGGATCACGCCATGCCGAGGTCACGTGATGAGCAACTGGAGATCCAGCGGACCTTCCGCTGGAATCCCACATATTTTGTTGAGGACTGGAAATCCACAAGAAAACGCACTGGATCTCTACAATCCCAGGAATTCCACTGGACTGCCACCACCACCTGTCTAGCAGTGTATAAGGGATCAGTTGAGGTGATTACGCGTATCACGTTGCAACGCAGTTCACGTCTGCGGTAGGAGACACCATTGACACGTGGAGAGGGTTGGAACGATCGACATATCCACGTAGTCCAGCCTAGTCTTTTTGATCTTAGGACGGGTCTCGTGTGGAGTTGATCAGCGGAATGGAGGTTGTGGCGTAGGCATGCAAAAAAAATCAGAATCAGACACTGTTATGGTCTAGAGACTACAAAAGCGAGCAATGACTTCTGTCGTGTATCAGTATCAAGGTTAGAAACAAGTTGGACTACTGCAAGGATGGATAGCATAATTTGAATAGAGTTGTGGTCAGCGATGAGAGGAAGCACTGGCAGTGGGAAGGGAGGGTGCCTGGCGGAGTTTGGGAGACACGCGGGTATGCGAAATTCAGGGATGGTGAGAAGAAGGCAAAGTGGTGTGGACTTGTCGGTGTGGTCACATTTGCGATTGCACCGCTGGGCTGCCTGAACCGTCCTTTAGATCTGTTCTGTCGCACTCACTGGCACCCACATCATGCGCCCATAGTCCGCTCACCCCGGCCATATACCCTCTCGTCCACGACTGCCACGATCTTCCCCCCCTGTTGCCTCTGCCCAGTGCTACGGCCAGGTACTCCTCGTCGTCCGCAATCAGCCATCGTACCGGGGACGGAGGTCGACCGAGTCCCCGAGGATGCACTCAGCGCGCGTAGAGTCCACTCTCTATATTCGCGTCGTTGCTCTGTCAATCGCTCTTTACGAGTCAGTAGGCCTGCCCTCTGTTTGTTGCCTCCTCCCAGCCGTCCTAACGTCCCCCCCCTCCACCTGTGATAAAGCTATCTCCTGACGCTACCCGCAGAATGGCGCTTCTACAGAAGCCAGAGGTCCTGGCGCCTCAGTCCAGGATGCATTCTGTTCATTGCTATCCGGTCCGTCCTGCCATCCTTCTCTTCTCTCGCACGCGTCCCCCCCTTCTCGATCACTGATCCTATGTGTCTCCTCCTGCTTAGCTACACCAGTGTAGCTGTCCTTGTCACCAGCAACGTCGGCTTCTTCAGCGAATCCTTCACGCCGCAAGGATGCAAAAAATACTACATCATCCCCCCGGTACTCAAAGGTCAGTGTAATGTCCATCCGAGAAATGCGGAGAAGCAAAGTGGCGTACGCCAAGACGGGAAGCGACGTCAGATGCGAATCCGTGTCGTAATGCTCCGTATTCGCGTCCAGCCCTTCCTCGCTGTGTGGACTGTATCGTTGACGAATGACCTCATGCATCGTGTCACAGTCGTCCAAATAATGATATCACAGTTAATCTTGGGTATCAGGTGCGCTGTCGTTTTATTTGCATTCACCATCCAAGTTCATCTTACAACTTGCCGCAGAACTATCAACATCTCACGACGAGCACCACGGGTCTTTTGGACCGTCGTAGTCGCGTTCATCTCGGTTTCAATTGTATGCGCATCCCAGCGGAACCGTCTCGCTACGTCTATGCTAACCTCTCGCATAATTGTAGGCTGAGGCGTTTTTGAACCTATCGAATCGAGTTCGTGAGTACCGGCCACTTCTCTCGCAGTCTCGTCAGTCATGCCTAAACTCTCATCCTGACAGAACTGCCCGCACCGCCAGCTGCGCAGGGCCTGCGTCACAAGTGAGTCTCATAGCGTATCAGTTATCTCCCACGACGATGTTCATCGGACTTGCTCGAATAGCTGTACGGCGGGAAACAAACCACCAAAGTTGACCGTATGGCTGTTCTATGTCTTCGCCATGATTTACGACCTCCTGGTACTGGGGATTTCGACATTCTATCTTATAGGCTTCGGTCCCAACTTCGGAAAGTGAGTCCCCCCTCTGTCTACGCTTTGTATTGCTGATTCTCAATTGCGTGGTTTCACAAGATTGGGTCGCCTCGTCAGGATGTATGCGACCAACGTTCCATACTCTCTGTTATGGGGCGGTATCTGACCGTTCACTTCACAGTATGCTCACAGACGGCCTTGTTTATTTCGTGGCATTAACTGGTACGTACCACAACCGGACCATGTCTTGTATTCGTTCACGCATTATCGGTACCTCAGGGGTCAACATAGCAAATCTGATCTTATACAGAAGCTCCATTGAAGCAGCCCAGGTACGTTCCCACCCCCGCGCGCCACACTCGCATGCACAACGCTGACGCGTCCTGATCCCCTCAGTCGTCAGGGTCAGTATTCCCGCTCATCCACCCACTGTCGCCCCTGGCCGCAGTCTACGTCGCCCAAATGTCGAGCTATGCTGACTTCTGATCTGCGCCCCCGCGCGCATGTGCACACAGCGTAACCCTGGGATATGCCCTGACGTGGATCATGAGCCAGCGCATCCTCATCCACCTCCGCGGTACGTCGTCCTCCACGCTTCTCCTCCCCCGCTATTTCCTCACACGGACCCCCCCCCTCTACAGACGCCGCGGCGGCGCACAACCGGCCCGCGACGACCCAGATCATCGTCTCGCGCCCGCTCGCGTCCGCGCACTCTGTCTCGCGCGCGATGCGCTCGCAGTTCGACACCAAGGCGTCGCGCGCCCCCTACCAGCTCTCGACCGCGTTCGACATGGACGTGTCGCTCGGCGACTGGTCGCTCACGTCCCCGCCGCGCGACTCCGAGGCGCGCGGGCCGCACGACCTCGAGAGCCAGGTGCGGAGCCAGTCCGACAGCCCGGTCGTGTTGAAGAGAGGGCTGGGGGCGCTCGGGGAGGAGGAGGGAGAGGGAGAGCGAGGGGGCGAGGCGATGGCGTTTGAGGTCGAGGTGCAGGTCGAGGAGACGGTGACGGTGGAGTATGAGCCGGCGGCGTACGAGACGGAGTCGTATCGGACGCCGAGGGTGCTGTGGTCTCGGGAGCAGGAGCAGGAGCACGCGCAGGAGCAGGAGAGAACGGAGAGGGAGCAGAGAAGACAGAGAGGCACCTTCAGGGGTGATGGGAGGGGGGCGAGCAGGCTGTCCGTGCTCGGGGAAAGGAGCAACGCCGGGAAGAGCAACGCTGGGGGGGGCAAGCGCGGGGACCATCTCGGAGATGGGAGCGCGGCGGGAACATAACACCGGCTTGGTCGTATGCATCGTGCTGTCTTGCTTCTTATTTTTCCTGGTTGGGTCTTCATCGCTGATGTCTTCATGGTGAGTCGCTCAGCGCCTTCCGTCTACGCACCTGGATGATTGCTAACTGGCTCAAACTCAGTCCCTCTGGTCCTCACGCTGGTATCCTTATCTGTTATACGCCTATGTGCCTGCCCCTCTCGCCTCTCCACGGATTCGTTTGCTCTCCGTCGCCATCTCCCTTCCCCTCATCCACACATCCGCACGTTGGTCCCCCTGCACAAAGTCTGCTTTGGTTGTGCAGTATATTGCTTTTGCTAACTGCTTTCGCACTGTCTCACCTTTCCCAAATCTCAAGGTTCTCCTGGTTCACATCCCTGTCATCATGATACATGGGCTATGCATCTTCCCCACCCCACCTATTGTTCTCGTCCCTGGGTCACACACATCTTCACGGGCTATACGAATCTGCTACTACATAATATGTACCATCTTGTCACTTACTCCTCATTCCCCCCGCAGCCTTCCAGCCGTATATAGCTGATCGCTGTGATACTGTCCTCATCATTGTCCTCCGTGTACATTTTGTAGCTTACGCACACCTCCGCATACTCTGCATTTGGCATATGCCACTGGGCTTATCGTGGTAGAATGTCAGTAACGAAACTCGCTGTCTTCCTTCGAGTGATTCGCCAGGGCTATTACTCGACTATGTCCTCGTGCATGCCCCTTAACGGCTAAAAAAGGTACAGTCGATGTCAAGAAATTCCGAGCCTGTGACTATAGTGATACAGGCAATCCAATAGACTTCGGGTATGCAATGAATAAGTTAAGACGCGCGCGCGGATAGCTCCCTACGGTTCATGCAGCGGCAAGGCAGTCAGCTACCTCCCTCCCTTCTCGCCCTCTCCCTCCGCCTCTCCCTATCCCCCCTGTCCCGAGGGCGCCCTTCATCTCCGGAGGGAGCGGTAGAGGAAGAACCCGCCTTGCTCTTATCCTTCGAGCGGTCCTTTGTCTGCCGGAAGCACAAGAACTCGATACCCGTCGCGTGCCTTGCGTCGCTCAGCGTCTTCTTGACGCCCTCGAGATACACCTGGAGGTTCTCGTCCCCCGGGCGCTTTGCGTACGTCTGCGAGATGCGGGTGTAGAGCTCCGAGAGGGTCTCGTTAGCTGACTTTGTGATGTAGCGCGACAGCACCTGATGTATGAACTCGATCTCGAGTGTTGCCTGGAAGAGGGTGGTTGGTATCATGTGAGAGGGGCATGGAAACATGACGACATACCCGGAGCATACCGCCCATGCCGAAGCGTTTCACTTGGCGGAAGCAGCGGAGGGCCTCTTCGGCAACGTCCTCGACGAGTGCGTTCAGTGTGCGCTCGAGGAGTGGGGCGGCGGCGGCGCTGACTTGGGCGTGGACGCCGACGAGGTACATGAGCGTCTCGTAGACGTACGGTCGGATCTCTATATTCCTGCCACATTTAGTTAAGTCGCAACAGGCTGAAGGGTGAATAGACGTGCCTTTCGGTTGTGGGGTCTCATACCAGTCCATCTCCGGGTCGAGGATGCCATTGCGTACGATACTGGTGATTGCCGTGGACTTCGGCTTGAAGTAGGACTCAAAGAGCGTCTTGTCCAGCTCTTTGACCACCGCCATGAGAGACTGTGCTTGCTATTTGAACTGGGAAAGCAAACACAGTCATGAAATGAACGCACATTCTTCTCGTCGGAGAGCGTAACGTTGAAGGCTGCTTCAAATTCGGCGATCATGCTGGGGATGAGGGCACTCTGCAGTTGCGCGAAGTTTGAGACTACCAGCAAAACGCGTGTACCCTGTACCGGAGTGCGCATACATCAGCGGGCATTGTCTCTAGTTTCAGACAACGTGACTGACAGCGTCCTCGATCTTGACGAGTTCCAAGGGGTTGTTTGACCCAGGAACAGCATTTGCCTGTGCGAGGAGCGGAGCTCTGGGCGTAGCCGACGTAGGCGACTCGTCCGACGCAAGATGCACTAGCCCGTCTAGGAATGCATACAACGAGTCCAAGAAGGCCTTCGTGATCTTCGCCACAAACTCAGGGGCGATAGGGTTCTGCTTAGTCTGCCGCGAGGACGATCCCGAAGCTGATAAATCAACGCCGCCGCAGATCTTGAATGCGCTAGTCGTGATCTGTTTCTGAAATGTCCGCATCTGCGCAAGGTAGACAGTCGTGTATGGGTCCGCGGTCGAGCCCACCCAGTTCTCCAGGTAGTAGAAGACGTTCGCATCTGCGGACGTCGAGTGAGCGTGCAGCGATAAGAGAGCGTAATGTTCTGTAGACTGAGAACGAACCTCGGAGCCATGCATTTATGAGCAGATCTTCAAACTTCCACCTCGCGCTCTCCAGAAGAGACTTCAGACTCGACGTGGCCTCTCCGGATATTTCTATTCCAGTCACATCGTTCACGCTGTCCTGGATCTCTCCAAGGATCTTCATAAAGTGGTGGGCGGTGGTGAGCGAGTTCGACGCCTTTGGGAACATCGGTGGCGTTGCATTGCGACCAGGCGACATGACGGCCATGTCGGAGAACATGAAGAACTCGGAGAGGAGGGAGATGTATAGCTGGATGATGTCCAGCGCCATCGTCCGGCATTGCGAGGGACTTCTGCGGGATGAGCTCGCTGCGTTCTGTCACATGGCAAATTGGGTCGGCGGATGCATATGTGCGACATCAAGTGCCTATATGCTCACTTTCTTGTATCGACCTTCCATAAAGGACTTCGATATCTTCCAGAAATTTGGTAATGGTGTAAGCATGGCCTCTGAGACGTTCTTCACCATGGTTTCTATGGCCTCCCAGATCTCATGACCTCCAGATTGCGCTGAAAGGATAGACGCGATTGGTCCGTGAAACAAAGCTGCTGCGAAATTGATTACCGATGACAACATCAGGCTGTTTAGCCTCAATGGCCTGAACGCATGCTTGAAGCTGAGATGCTAGTTCGCGATTGAGCGAACTCTGGCTAGGACCTTCCACCGGTGCCTTGTCATTCAATCCTGCTACAGATTAGTCACGACGTCCGGCGATGTGGATGGATTTGCGGACCTTTGATTGTGCTGACGGCATTTGCGTAGATATCCCTCATGTTCTGCATGATGTACTTGTGTTGTGCGTCGAAGTACGACCAAGCCGGGTCGTCCGAGCTGCTGAACTCATACAAGATCCTGATCGCCACGGCAGCGTTAGGTCGACCACTACACAACATCGATGGGCGCGCCACTCACTCAATAGTCTTCTCCTGCTCTTCAACGCTCCGTGAGGGCTCTTGCAGCTTGGCTTGAAGCTCGCTCCGCATCTGAGCCATCACCTTCTCCACAGTAGCCCAGACCTTGTCCAGAATGCGCTTCTGCTGCTGCTGTGCGCTCTCCGCTGCTTGGCCATCTTTGGTCGTTCCTATTGGGAGTAGCTGATTCGGGCGGGTTTCGAGCAGTATCTTGCCCTTCTTGTAGTCACGCATCGCCGCCTCATAACGACTCTACATGCATAATGGCAACATCAGGTTGGCTGGAACCAATAAATAGCGGAGCGCCCATGAGACTCACCGCCTCAATACATTCAACGAGGGAACTTGGGAGGTTAAAAAAGAACTTCGACCTCTCGAAGACTCCCAGTGTTGTACGGAGCTTCTGTGCCTTCATCGCGTTCTCGAGCACCGGCAGAAATACCTGATCAGCTTTCTGAGCGGCAGCTAGTATGATATGCGTGAGAATGTTTTCCTCAACAACATAGGTACAGCGTGAACGGACCTTTGAGATGGTCTTTGAGCGGTTGCGAGGCGTAGTCAGTCTGGTCGGCCAGAATGCCCTCTTTCATCTCAGCATACAAGGCTTCACACACAGGGATCAGTACACAAAGGTCCGCTATATCAAGGGAGCGCAGTCGTACCATCTGTGGAGGCCTTTACTGCGACAAACCTATCGAAGTTCTCCTCGACGAGGACACGAATGGCCTCCGACCGTGAATCCAGTGAAGCACGCAGATGAGCGATTCCTGCGGAAAGATCCTGGTATGTTGCATTGGGGTGAACGACAGATAGGAACGTCTTCGGGTCGAATGTCTTCGAGGAGATGAGCACCGCAGCCTCTGGCGCGGAGGGTCAACATGGATAGACGAAATCTATTGGGGCGTAGCACTGACTGGTCTGTGAATCCAGTTCACGCAAACTAGCATAGCGGTCAATACGTACATGCGCATGCAGTAGTGCATCCTACATACTCGATAGTTGCACCCAGGCCCAAAGGATCCGTGTCATTCTCCGCCGGTCCCGTCATACCAACTACTGCGTTGTCCGTATCCTCCTCAATCTCCTCCCATCGCCTGCAAAAAAAACCAAACTCCATGAATAACGAATGGACACCTATATACCGCAAGAATCCATTACGTTGCGGAGATTGATGATAACTTGTATGCCTTGAGGAGTGCATCGTCGTCGATGTCGAAGTTCAGCCTTCCCATTACCTAGGCTTGTTTGTAACCAGGAGTCAAGCTTTGCAAATTGCGTCCAAACTAGCCGTCAGAGGATCCCGAACCGAGAAGAAAAGAGACTATGTGGTGGACGAGAGTGGGGGAAGGAGATAAAGCGCGATCATCAAGGTTCGGTAGACGCCAGAGTGTAACCTGCCGACCGCATGCATTGCAGCCACAACTTGAGCCAAGTCTTACAGCCGGTTTCAGCTCGCTTGTCGTGAGAGCGTCGCGCCGCGTCTCGCGCATTTGCCTGTTTTCCCCTCCTAAGCGCCCCCAAAGGAACTTCGGACGACGATATCTCCTCGACTGCTCAATGTAACCACCTCATTCTTGCATATTCCGGCTCAGGATCATGACGCGCAGGGCACGGTGCCGGTTTCAAGTTGGCCGCTCGTATGTCGGATGTTCCACCCGCCTTCGGTCGATTTCACGCTGTCTTCTGCATCTGTCGTGCATATATCTTAAAACAACCCCTGGAGATACCTGGAAGGCTCACTGGTAGCTGTGGGCGGATGTTACGGAGGGCATACAGTAATACACCACTCCTTTTGACAGAAAAAACATGTGACTCAGATTTCTTCAGATCTACTGTAGCAATACTGGACGACTTTCCATAAGGATCTACGGCTCTACGGACGTCCGTAGATTTCTAGGCGGGGTTTGAAACAGTCTGTGGATCTTGGGCGCTAAACAAGCGGCATGTTATGCTCATCATCAGCACGTGACTGGAGTGGCTTATGTCATGTCTGTATTTGGCATG